GATGCGGGCATGTCACGACCACAAATTCCCACCTTAGGATGTCATGATGGTACCTAGGCTCTAAGACACCTAACATGCATTGAGAAATAGCAGAAATAACAACTTAAATATCAACTTAAACTGTTAAACTATCATAATAAAACTCAAACAGTACAGCTGTCAAATAACTCCCAAAACCTGGTGGAACCGAGTCATAAACTCTACAAAGAGTGCACTAATAATATTGAGATACTATACTGTTTGAACAGGAAATAAACAGTAATACAACTAAAGCAGAAGATGACTTCGAGGCCTGCGGACGTTGGCAGGTGTACCTTGAAATCTCCGGAATAACTGGTCAATCACTGACGTTCGACACGAGCGGATGTACCTGGATTTGCACAAAATAAATATGTAGAAGTATAGTATAAGTACACCACAACAGTACACCTAGTAAGTATCAAGTCTAACCTCAGTAGAACAGTGACGAGGTCAGGTCAAAACACGTACTAGGATAAGAAAACTGAATAGAATATAAGATAATCTAATAACGGAAGCAAGGAAATGAATGGCAACAAGGCAATGCAACAATGTAGGCTAACAACGAAATTTAAGGCAATAAAGAAAACAAGGAAAGGATACATGATAAGAACGACGAGCAATCAAATACGGGCAAAACACAAGTAAGAATAATGAAGAATTAACAAAATTATTCAACCAACAAGCCTAACACAGAAGGTGCAACAAGAATCACAACCGAGACACCATACCTCATATCCATATCTCACAAATCACAATTACAATCTTTCTTATATCGCCGCGTGAGCCTTGCATTTATATTTTTGAAAATATTTTTCTGAAATAGCTATCCATTACTAAAAAATCAGGTTTTAGCGACGGACAAATTCTGTAGCTAAACAGAAAAATCCGTCACTAGTCTCATTTAGCGATGGATTAGCTACGGATTATCAAGAAATTCTTCTAGCTACGAGTGTTTTAGCAACAGATTAGCGATGACGTTCGTAGCTAATTCAAGTTTTTTTGTAGTGTACATGCGCTTTAGCCCCTTATCTCACCGTGTGGCACCAAGTAATTCCCTTACTAGCAACACGCGCATAAATCCCATCTTATATCTCCGCATGCACATTAACCCATATTCTTATACCGCCACATACACATCAATATCAAAACATAATAGTCAACTCACACCACACGTGCCCATATGCCACAGCACTTGCCAACATCAATAATACCAAGATTACCACAACATATAGCCCACGGCTCAACCACAATAATATATAATATCTCAATGATAACAAGAATGAACGAGAATTACTCAACAAGGAAAGATATCTCCATAATCAATAGCTTCAACCTCAACGTGATAATAGTTTTCATAGCTTCAACTTCAATAACTAGAAATAAAGGCGTTCCTACAAAATGACTACTTCCAATCCAAGTGTATAATATAAGCTTAACAATGAAAAGATAGTATAAAATAGCAGCTATGTCTAAATGCATAAGGATAGTTCAACACGAAAAAATATAATGAAATAACAACTTCAAGTAAGATTAATTCAAAATAAAAGAGGCACATGACAATAAGAGAGATAAAAATGCCAATTAAGGCATATAAGTGCAAGTTTGGAAATAAAATATAGAACATGAGTTAACAACGTCAGGTAAAGCATGTTAGAGTAATTTAATAATGAAATATATAACATGATATGACAATGTCATTTTAATGCATGAAAGAGCCTAAGAGTCTAACCCGGTCAACATACTACATATAAGCTCATGTACACACTCGTCACCTCATATAAACGTCTTCCACACAATTCAAATAACAAAATTAACCAAATCCTAAGGAGTAGTTCCTCCACACAAGGTTAGGCAAGATACTTACCTCCATAAAAATTCAATAAAAGTCAACCACAGGCCCGCCCGGTCAAAATCTGGGTTCAAGGGTAGATCTCGACTACCCATAACCCCACGAGTTCATATATGTGTTTTGTTTTCAAATCCGATTCCAGATCCACTCTCAAATCCCAAATTTTCTTTTTCAAAACTTAGACAAACAACAACAACAACAACAACCCAGTAAAATCCCACAAGTGGGGTCTGGAGAGGGTAAAGTGTACGCAGATCTTACCCTTACCCAAAGGAGGTAGAGAAGTTATTTTCGATAGACCCTCGGCTCAAGCAGACAAAAAAGACAATATATCAGTACCAACAAAAGAAAGCATAAAAATAGTAACAACATCATAAGTACCAGAAAAAAGATGAAAAACAATAACAGTAACACGTAAAAAAAGCTCGGTACTATGAAAAGTGAAAGAAAGTGTGGACACAACAATAACCACTAGCACTATAGGACACAACCCTATAAGACTAGCCTCTCACCCGGTACGAAGTAGACAAGAGCTCTACTACCTCCTAAGCTACAACTCTAATGTTAGACCTCTACACATTCCTATCAAGGGTCATGTCTTCGAAAATCTGAAGCCTCGCCATCTTCTGCCTGATCACCTCTTCCCCATACTTCTTGGGCCGCCCTCTACCTCTTCTCATACTCGTTAAAGCCAGCCACTCACATCTCCTTACTAGGGCGTTCGGACTTCTCCTCCGCACGTGCCCGAACCATCTGAGCCTAGTTTCCCGCATCTCTTCATATATCGGGGCCGCGCCCACCTTCTTCCAAATATCTTCATTCCTAATCATATCCATCCTAGTGTGCCTGCACATCCACCTCAATATCCTCATTTCTGCTACTTTCATCTTCTGGATATGAGAGTTCTTGACCGGCCAACACTTTGCCCCATACAACATGGCTGGTCTAACCACCGCTCTATAGAACTTACCTTTGATCCTTAGTGGCACCTTCCTGTCACACAGTACTCCAGGTGCTAACCTCCACTTCATCCAACTCACCCCTATACAGTGCGCGACATCCTTGTCAATCTCCCCACCCCCCTTGATAACGGACCCAAGATACTTAAAACTGCGTCTCTTGGGGATGACATGTGATACAAGAGTCATGTCCACACCCGTTTCCCTCGACTCGGTGCTGAACTTACACTCCAAGTAATCTGTCTTAGTCCTGCTAAACTTGAAACCCTTAGACTCAAGGGTCTGTCTCAAAACCTCCAGCCTCTCGTTAACACCACCTCGCATCAAAAGTATGTCATCAGCAAATAACATACACCATGGAACCTCCCCTTGAATATGTGCATCACTGCGTCCATCACCAGGGCAAATAAAAATGGGCTGAGCGCAAATCCTTGGTGCAACCCCATAACAACCGAAAAATGCTCTGAGTCGCCTCCTACAGTCCTAACCCGAGTCTTAGATCCATCATACATGTCCTTAATCGCCCTAATGTAAGCAACCGGCATGCATTTTGATCACGTCCAAATGCACACCTCACAAGAGAGATAACACGATCGTATGCAATAATAAAACTCAACAAGGAGTCGGGATCGATTCCATAAGGAGCTAAGATGGGAGTTCGTAGTATATATTCGGAATAAGTAAATGGAATATCTAGATTGCACTTCCACAAATAAGGTTTTGTTTTTACTTCTAAAATTAAGCTAACAATTGCAAATCTAAAGATTTAAAACTAGAGAAGATTGTTTTTGAGTATTTTCCAAAGATATAAAAAGGCCTAGGGTTGTGATCATGAACTAGGTGTTTGCCTAATGGGATAAAGACTTTTATGCTCATTTTATTGACTGGGGTGTATTATAGCTCACAACACTATGTTGCCCACTCAATACCTCTCAGTGAGAGACTAGCTTTGCGCAATTTGGCTTTCTCAATACCAAATGGGTATCTACCAAAACGGTTGATAAGAGCTCAAGTAGGGTTGTTACTATCTCTAGGTTGAACCTTTTAACTAGGTTAATCAATTTCTCAATTGACCCAATTCCTTGCTAGCTAAGTTAACCTAAACTAGGTCCCTCTTAGACTAAGTCAAATAGGCATTAATTAATGTTTGCAACCATTAATTCCACAAACAAAGAATGAACCAAGCTAAATAATAAATACATTCATAAACAAGCATAAAATTAATCACCCATAAGGTTTACACACTAGGGTTGGGTCACAACCTAGTAAACATCTAGCTATTCATGCTTGAAATTGAAGAAATAGAAGAAGAAATGCTAATTAAACTCATATTGTAAAATCAAATGATAAAATCTATGTTAAAATATTCCAAAATAAGAAAAACTACTAAAAGAGGCAAAGAGAAACGGCTACTGTAATTGCTGATGTCAAAAATTGACCTAAAATTGTTAAACTCGTCTATTTATATAAGGCTGGAAATTTCGGACAAAAATGCCCTTTAGAAGGTTCTGCGGCTGAACAAATCGTGTGCGGTTCGCAGATCTCTTCAAGTTGTCAGGAACTGGAGGTCTGCAGCTGCATAAATCTGATCTGTGGCTGCGAGGCATTCTTTTTGCGGTCCGTAGATTTGTCACTGCGGTAGCACCTTGGCCATCTACGATCCGCACTTTTACGTCTGTGGCCGCAAGGCACTTCTTCTGCAGCGGCACAATTCCTGTGCGGTCCGCACTTTTGAGGACTTGAAAACTTGGAACTTTGCACATTCTTTGAACTTTGTTCCTAGCCATCTTTTCCGGTCGCATAATTCATGTGCGGATCGCAATTTGCACAAAGGTCTGTTGGTCTTTCCTTCATCATCTGCGGTCCGCACTTGTGAGCCTCTGTGACATTTATGGCCTTGAGTTTAATTAGATTACTCCTTTTGAGTTAGATTTTATCTCAGGAGTCCATCTTCCAATATTCTTGTAATTTAGCAAATTTCATCAGTTTTGGGAACATAATTAAACACTTTTAGACTAAAACAAAAGTTAAAAGGCGCTAATAAGTAGTCAAAATTCCCACTTATCACCTTTTGCCTCCAGGCATCTCCAAAGAACCTCCCTAGGTACCTTGTTATATTCTTTCTCCATGTCAATAAACACCATGTGCAGATCCTTCTTCATATTCATGTACTATTCCACCAACCTCCTAATAAGGTGGATAGTTTCCGTAGTTGAACGACCCGGTATGAACCCGAACTGGTTATCAGATATAGACACAATTTTCCTCACCCTCTCCACCAGCCTCTCCCAAACTTCCATGGTATGACTTAACTTGATACCTCTATTGTTGTTACAATTCTGGACATCGCCTTTGCTCTTGTACAACGGTACCACCGTACTCCACCTCCACTCATTCGGCATCATTTTCGTCCTGAAAATAATATTGAACAACCCAGTCAGCCACTCCAAGCCTGCTCTACCCACACTTCTAAAAAATTCAACCGAAATTTCGTCTGGTCCGGTCTCTCTACCCCTACTCATCTTACGCATAACCCCTACGACCTCCTCAACCTTAATGCGTCTACAGTACCCAAAGTCTCGGTAACACTCGGAATGCCCCAATTCACCTAGCACAATATCCTCGTCCCCATCTTCATTCAACAGTTTATGAAAGTAAATCTGTCATCTTCTCTCAACCTGGGCCTCTCCCATCAATACTCTGTCGTCCTCATCTTTGATGCACCTCACTTGGTATATATCCCGAGCCTTCCTCTCTCTTGCCTTGGCCAGCCGGAAGATCTTTTTATCCCTGCCTTTGTCCCTCAGTTCCTCATTCAAACAAACAAACACATCAGTCTTAGCCTCTGTGACCGCCAACTTTGCCTCCCTCCTAGATACCTTATACCTCTCTCTGTGCGTCCTCCTCTCCTCCTTGTCTATGCTCCCTACTAACCTCAGGTACGTCGTCTTCTTCTCTTCCACTTTGACTTGGACCACTTCATTCCACCACCTGTCACCTTTGCGCCTATCAGTGTCACCCTTCGAGACCCCTAGCACCTCTTTTGTCTCCTCCCTAATACGGTTCACCGTCGTCTCCCACATAGCGCTCGCGTCCCTGCTATTCCTCCAGAATCCCAATATCAATAACCTCCCCTCCAACTCTCGAGCTTTATCCTCAGTCAAGGCTCCCACCTGATCCTCGGTCGTCCCTGTGCCAACCTCTTCTTTCTCTTTATTATGATACCGACGTCCATCACCAAGAGCCTATGCTGCATCATGAGGATCCCCCAGGGAATAACCTTGCAGTCCTTACATAACCCTCTATCACATCTCCTGAGGAGGATGTAGTCAATTTGGGTCCTCGCCATTGTACTTTGGAAAGTAACCAAATGCTCATCCCTCCTCGAAAAACTAGAGTTCGCAATCACTAGCTCAAATGCCTCCGCAAAATCCAACAGTGATGTACCTCCTCCGTTCCTAACCCCAAAACCGAAGTCGCCATGCACATTTCCATAGCCATCAAAAGTCGACCCAATATGACCATTGAAATTCCCTCCTATAAATAACCTCTCAGAAAGCGGGATACTACGCACAATCTCATCCAACACTTCCCGGAAGAGCCTTTTAACCTCCTCATCCAAGCCCACCTGTGGCGCGTAAGCGCTAACTACATTTAGAGTGCACTCCCCAACCACTAGCTTAATAGTCATTAATCTATCACTGATCCGCCTGACCTCTACCACCGACTCTCGAAGATCCCTGTCCACCAGAATACCCACTTCATTCTTACCCTTCATGACTCCAGAGTACCAAAACTTATACCCGTCTACATCCCTCGCCCTCGATCCTACGCAGCTAGTCTCTTGAACACAAGTTATATTAACCTTCCTCATCTGAAGAATCTTCGCCAACTCTATAGACTTACCCGTTAGTGTTCCTATGTTCCAAGACCCAATTCTCAACCTAGAGGCTCTCGTGTTCCCCTTACTCCCTTTGCCTCCAGTATCACCCCATGTGCCCTGCCCCACCCCCGCCTCACCCGAGGACATGACCTTACTCTAACATTCCAAACCTCAGCCACTATACCTACCGCATACTAAGGAAAATCACTAACCCAAAAATAGGCAAAGGACCAATCTAGAAGAAAATGATATGTCGCTACAGACACGCAGATATTATGATTGTACTAATGCGACTACAATGGCACCAATTTAACGAATACATCGAAGGGAGTGAGTGAGGCAAGAGGTACCAACTCCCGACAGTAAAACCTTGATATTCAACTTGGTGTCGTCTTTGCTTCCACTTCTTCAATGACAATCGCCAGAAAACGTCACCGGAAAATTTCTCTTTGATTCTCATAAATTTGATGTTAAATCTCATAGATAATAATAAAATATAGTCCGAAATTGATTAAAACTACTTACCCAATGATTGTAGGTAAAAATCCCCTCTCCAAGTCGCCTCATACATAGTCTAGGGTTCTAAAATAAGAGAAAATGAGATAAAATTCCAACTCCCAAACTTTTTGTTCAGTTGTAAATGTCGCAATTGCGATACTGGGTTCGCAATTGCGAATCCTCACAATTGTGAGGAATGATTCACAAATGTGGCACTGACAACCTATGTGGGAAGTTGCAAATGCGACATTGGGTTCGCAATTGCGAACCCTGTTCCTATCGCAAAATGCGACTAAAAATGTAGCAAATGTGATCCTACCCAGACTAGCATATCTTCACAAATACGAACAAGGTATCACAATTGCAATATCTGAGTCTCCCTTGTCATGTTCACAATTGGGATGCTGGTGCTTGCAATTGCGATAACTGCAGCACCAGCACACCAACAACCTGTATTTGTGTCGAAACCATTCCAAATTACGTCTAAAACTCACTCGAGCCCTCGGGGCTCTAAACTAAACATCTACACAAGTCTAAAAACATCTAGAATTACGAATCGGATATCAAAATTCATGAAATCCAAGGAAGAGTTCAACAACCTCTAGAAATGTAACCAAACGTCCGAATCCTGCCAAACCAACTCCAAATTACACCAAATTTTGCGGACAAGTTTCAAATAGCAAAACAGGCCTATTCCAAGTCCCAAAATCAAATTCTGAATTCGATATCCAAAAGTTCAACCTACGGTCAAACTTAGGGAAACTTCTAAACCTCAAATTGCTAACTTTCAGCAAACCAAGTCAAATCAACCTAGGGACCTCCGAATTCAATTCTGAGCATATGCATAAACCCAAAATCATGATACGAACCAATCGGAGTAATCAAAATACCGTTCTGGATCGTTTCACAAAAGTCAAACCTTGGTAAACATTTTCAACTTCGGCTTCTAAACCAAGAACCAAAGGGTCTGAATCAACCCAAAACCTTCCCGGAACAAAACCAATCAACCCCGCAACCCATAAAATTACAAATATACATGTATGAAGCATCAAAAGAAAAAAATGGAGCTTAAATACACATAACGACCGGTCGGGTCATTACAAGATATTACTAGTACAGGATGATATGGATTTTTTTTAGGCTCCTCCATGTCATCTTCAACTACTATAAAAAGCTCACTATAATTCTAGTGGGTAATTTGAGTCTAGGTTATTTATGTACTTAGGTATCTATTATCATAGTACGGGATAATATGGATTTTTTCTAGGCTCCTCCATGTCATCTTCAACTACTATAGAAAGCTCACTATAGTTCAAGTGGGTAATTTGAGTCTAGGTTATTTATGTACTTAGGTATCTATTGTCATAGTAGCTCCATGTACATTGTGGACATGTATTTAAGTTTAAAGCATTATCATTTATTCATGAAAATTATGTATAATGTATTGATGAGAAGGTTTTTGGGCCATTGAGACAAATGTATATGATTTAATTTTTTAAATATTTATTGTTATCATAGATTATGTATTTTCCAAGTCGAAGCGTAAAGGAATGACTAGTCCACCGTGTTAAAAGTTTAAGGCACTTGTTGTGTCGCGCTCACTAAGGTTGGGGGTTGATAATGAACATCCATACATGATGCGCCTAAGGTAAATCAACGTATAGGTTGGTACATATAAGATACTATGGCGATCTTAGGTCTAAGGATCACTTGCACAACCTCCACATGAGTACTTCCTTATTGACTAAGCGTTCATTAAGGTTTTCTTAAAAATGAGTCAATCCAATGAGCTCATTCTCTAATGAGCACCATATTCTTTAATTAGTGTCACATATACAAGTGTTTATGAGATCAATCACCCTCTCCATGCGTAGAATGTGCCAATCTAACTGGTTTACCAGTACTCATTCTCGAAAAATCATAACGACTAAAAATGTTTAAGATCGGGGCTTTCGATGCATCGAGGTCTCATTGGTATGATTGCTAGCATAACCCTCAAATTCGTTTCCCTAATTCAATGATTATCATCTTCTTCAAATTATTAGATATAAACAAGGCACAACAAGATGATGAAGATCGCCTTTATGATAATCATATATATAATGAAAAGATTTCTTACAATAATTTACCTATCACATCTCTATATGATTAGCTTGAGGGTGTATTTCCAACACTAAGATTAATAAAATTCTACTACCGCTACCTTGTCTTTGTTGGTGAAAACTTGAAAATTTGATATAGTGAAGAAGTAAGAAACGAATGTTGCATCTCAACAAAATGCAGAATTTGAATTCAAAGCTTTGGCACAGTCCTCATATGAGATTATGGGGACACATCATCTTTTGACTGAAGCTAGAGCGAAGCATCCTACAACAGCAAAACTTATAAGGAGCTATAATAAAGTTGCCCTTGTATATCATAAAAGAACAAAACATACTGAGATTGATTTTCATTTTATTGTGAGAAGATTCAAGAAAACATGATTTTCACTTGTTACGTGAAGATAAAAAAGCAACTAGCTGATATATTCACAATGGCGTAGAATGGAGCTCAAGTTGATTACTTTTGTAACAAGTTGGTAATGGTCAACATCTACATTCCGTTTTGAGGGAGAGTGTTACAAGAATGAGCTAGACCTACTTCTTAGTATTGTACATAGGCCCGGTATATGTAGCAGATTTGTAAGAATCTTATGACTCTTTTCTTATTTGGACTCAATGTATATGTATTTACATCTTGTATATTTTTGCAATTACAAGAGAAATTCCTCCATCACCTTGGTACATTACACTGATGAATGAATTCCTATATGCTAATATGTAAAAAAGAAACAAAAGAATCAATAAAATCTACTGCTAATATTCAAATGTTGGGACTTCATCAACAGTAGCAGAAAATGCCTTATATACGGTCCTATCGATGATGTTTCTATAGGGATCCTCCTCTCTCTTTTTAAGCAAGTAGTTCATACTATTTTGAACTTCAGCTTTTATCTGCAAATACAATTCTCTTGCCTTTTCTCTGTCTTTCAACATCTCCTGCCTTCCCTTTGTATGAACAGGTTTTCCAAACAAGTAGTAAAAACGTCCAGGAACCTTTGGTAAAAGGCCTGGAACATATAATGTTTGGTTGGCGACCTCCCCTGTCATGTCAGCCCTGCAATCAGGCGGTTCATCATGTAGCTTAGATTGTTTAAAAATAAAGAAGCAAGCTTGGAGCAAACAATAAACATGACAATAGCGTATAAGCAACCATTAGTTACCTTAATCTTACGCCCATCCTGGCTGCCTGTTCATTGTTATTTCTTATGCGATCACTCAGTATGGGAATTTTTGTCAGGTCATCATAGTCGAGGACCAACTGCAAATAAAAGAAGATGACATCAGAATAAAAAACGCTGAGATGCACCAGACATCTGTACAGCTATGAACCAACCACCTGCTGTTGTTCGGTTTCCTTTTCTAGACCTTCAAGTAGAAAAGGGACTTATCTGATCCCTAAGACATATTTACTTCTCTAACAGCAATTTCAATTTACACAAGGTCAACATCAAAACTTGGAAGAAGGGCGGCGCTTAAAGATTGCAACTTTTTTCTCATCAAACTGTCCAAAAACCGGACTCCTTATGCTTTTGTACATAAACCACACTCATTCAGCACAACTTGAGTTCCCACTCTTCTATTTTGTACTGTTAGATTCAATTTTGGGTTGTTTTGAAGTAAACATCCACTTTCACTGAAAAGAAACTTCAAATCGTTCTTTTGTTTTACATTCGGATACCATGTACCAGTAAGTATTACATGAAAGTACTTTGAACTCATCAAAACTACTTTTTGCCTGTTCCATTTTAGAAACTAAAATTCATAGAATACAGGACCAACATTTCCATCACCTAGATATGAAGCAATCCCACACTTCAACGAAGAATCCTTAGAAGGTTTCCCAAATATGCCTCATAGAGTGTCTCCCTGTGTGTGTATATATGTATATAAAATTTGATCTTCTTAAATGGCAGTATCAATCAAATATAATTGAAACATAAATAGGAGAAATTTAGAGGTAGTTATGAAATAGAGACTGCCATTGCATAAAGAAGAAATTAAAATGGAAAATTTCTGTTTGAAAGTGTAATGAAGCATCAATCTAAACTAATAATTGAATCATGATAAAATCTATATTGCGTGGACTCTCCAAAATGATGCCGCACCCGTGTCGGATCCTCCAAAAATACACTATTTTGGGAGGATCCGACACGCACCCGGCAACATTTTCGGAGAGTCCGAGCAACATAGGATAAAATTAAAGATACCCAGTTATTTTCTAAGTACTTCATAACTGAAGTAAAACATGCCATTGCATGAAGGATAAATACAAATGCAAGAATCTGTATTCAGAGGGGTAAAAACACGAATCAGGAATAGCTATTTCCTCTCTTCCTTCTGTATTTCTTAATTGAACAAGTTATTTGGTTAAGAGCAATGGGGATAATTATGGTTCGGAGATTCTATTTTTATACCTTACACCCTTCATAATTTCATTGCCTTCAAGAAAATTGGTTTTTCAGATAATGCTGAACTAGAGAAACAAGCACATTGTATAATGCAATAACTGGTGAAAACAACATTAATTCTTTCAGTAGAAGAAATTTTGGAGAACCAATCATCATTATTTCTTATATTCTTATTAAAGAAAGTAGCACGTAGGAATATCATTAACATACTTGTGCTATGTCATCTTCTCCTACAACTCCAAATGGCACGATTGTAGCACCAAACCGTGCAGCCATTCTGACGAATTCTGGTTGATCAGGCCAAATCACCTTATACTCTTCTCCCTGGCATAAACTGAAACCATCAAATTGAGAAGTAGCATCATAATAAGTAGTAGCTGAGGTTATATGGTTTCACAGACAATCAGAAGCAAACTGGAAGATTGCAACCTTTCTTCCTTTTCCCTAGTCTATCCTTAAAAATTTGCAAACGAGCACTTAAAATTTGCAGCAAGACAACCCCCATTACAAACCTTTACAAACAGCTATAGTCAGAAATGTTTTTTGGGGCAATTTTCTTTCAGCAAAAATTAGTGTGTGATTCTTCTTAATTAGCTCTCCTTCAGTACTATATCCTGTTTTTTTCCTCGCAACTACTTCAATGGAAAATATTTAGAGAAAAAGTTGACCTTCTCGACTCGGAGAAATCTTCTGAGCTAATGACTGAAAAAAAGCACCTGTTTGGCAATGTCATATGAAATTTTGAAAACCATCGCCATATTACAGTTTTTCTAGTCACAAAGAGGAACTGCGACCATGTTATGCACGGAAAACTGCCTTTTTACTAGGGGAGTCCTGATTTAAGAGCAGCTATGCACTCATGATAGTTACCTAATCAAGCAGTTTTTGAGTCGGACCAACTGCAGTACATCTATTAGCATACTGTTTGAACAGTCATGGTTGACATTATGTCAAAATTATCATGTGCATCAAGCAGTCAGAAACATCTTTTGCATTTTGTACTTCTAATTTTCTTGATGTTGAAGACCTAAATAAGTATCGACAAAAGAAGACTGAAATAAGTAAATAAATTTTTTCATCCTCTACTAGTGTACACAAATAGACAATATTTCTCTCCCTCTAATTACTTTATCTTATAGAAAATGATAGATATACTATAAACATTTTGATCATACAAGCTTATATAGACTAAAAACACAAATTGAAAAAGGTGAACTGTTGATTCTGAACAAAAATACGCGTTACCATTTAGCTATGCAGATTCACATGCATACATGCAGAAACACAACTTTCCAAAAACTGATTTCACCATTTATATTAATACCTCATATTCTATACAGACAGACGCTATATGGAAATTCATATATGCTTAGCTGTATGGCAAATGCCCCTTTTAGGGGTAGGTTATGGCTGTCCAACGGGACGGGACGTCCCGTCCCGTCTCGC